CGCGTGCACCGGGTGGCGAGTGCTGCGGCCAGAAGCGGCCCGGCAGCAGCCTCGTCAGGACCCCCGGATCCAGCCGCTTGGCAGTCGTGGCTCTCCGCGCCTAAATCCCTGTCATCCCTTCGTGATCTGGTGAAATCTGGTCGATGCTCGGTTTATCTAGTGCTGTAGCGGGAACGTCGGGGCTCCTTCAGGGATTGCTCTGGTAATGGTTCCCCTCACAGTCCCGCCGAGGGATTTGTGGGATATGTGTTGACGGCGGTTTAAAATACCTACGGGCTTCAAAATTGAAGTGCAAAACGTGAAACTAATTGTAACGGCTGGACTTTTCTCTCCCTTGCATCTGCGTTACTTCCTTCTCTAGAAATGGATCCTGAAGCACTTAAAAAATACTCGGCGCTGCATCCTAAACCTGCTGGACTTACTCTTCAGTATGGCACCGCTGGGTTTCGCACCAAGGCCGAACAGCTTGATCACGTCATGTTCCGCATGGGCTTGCTGGCAGTTCTCAGGTCCAGAGCTGTGGTATCGACTGTTGGCGTCATGGTTACAGCATCTCACAATCCTGAAGTGAGAGCAACCTTTTCTTTAAAAAGAAAATAGATGCGATCCGTCAGGTGGAATCAAAGCTCTTCATGGTACCGAGAGACCAGATCCTGAAGGCATTTGGACTTACTTAAAGCATGTGTTTAGCCTGCTCCCTGTAAATATGGCAGCTCTCATGTTTGGAGTGTCATTTTCCATCATGTGGAAATGCTGTAATGTAGGAAATTTGTAATCCTGGCAAGCTTGGAGTACCCTTGAGAAAAGAGAACCTTTGAGCAAAATCCGCTAGTTTAAAAAATACGCAGCAATTACAAACCAGGCATTTAGAGTTCTGCTGCTGTGGAGCATTCCAGGTTATTAGACTCTCCCCTTATGTCGTTTTAATGTCAAATGAATTTCATACCAAAATTTTAAGGGGAGAAAAGTCAGTTGCTGGTTATGTTTTGAGGTTTTTTTTAGAGGTTTAAATAAACAGCTAAGCTATTGCTTCCCAGAAATGCTCCACATTTAAAGAAGCAATGTGGTTGAATCATGTCTCGGCTATCTTCAAAGAGATTTTAGTAACTTTCCCACTTTTAGACTTGTTATCTTTTGTTCTGTTTTCCTCCAAGGAAGATAATGGCGTAAAGCTGGTTGATCCTCTTGGTGAAATGCTGCACCCTACCTGGGAAGAGTATGCCACACAACTAGCAAATGCAGAGGAGCAAGAATTACAGAAAATAATAACTGAGATCTGCCAAAAAGCAGCAGTGAACCAGCAGAAGGATGCATCAGTTTTTATTGGTAGAGACACCAGGTAATTACAGAATGCTGTAGGTGCGTGCTGCTTTTACGGAAGTGCCAATGCGTTGCTCATGGGTTGGATGTTTAGCCCTCCCAGCCAGATTATGCTTTTTTTTTTTTAATGCCTAGTCTGCTACCCGTTAAAGTAATTTATGATTACAGCAATAAACAAAAGTTTTCCAATGCTGTTCCTATATTAGCTTCCCTGACAGTTGTGAGAACTTCCTAGCACTGTTTCTGAATGGGATGCTTTATTGTGAGTTTGGGGGTTTGGGTTTGGTTTTTTTTTGGTGGGTACTGTGTGACGTACACGTGTATTCAGCAGTTTACTCGTCTTTGCAATTTTCTGGGGTGGTGGCTTTCAGACTTTTTTTATTGGGAGGCCCCTACAATAGAAAACGGTATGGATTTCTTCATATTGAATCTAAGTCTACTGGCAGGAAGCTTGTTGAGACTTCTTCCGCGTGTGCTTCCTTCCCAAGTCCATACATAAATGTCTTCTGCAAAGGTTATCAGTTGTACTTCTTGTTTTCCAGGCCAAGCAGCAAGAAACTTTCACAGTCGGTAATAGATGGTATCTCCGTTCTAGGTGGTCAGTACCATGGTATGTCGTGCTTTTGCAATTCTAGTCTGATTTCAGGTTTTTATGTAAATGTAAATGTGACTCTGTTACATAGACCTAAAGCAGCAGCTCAGACGCCATTTCCATTTTTGCTTGTAATGATCTTCTTTCAGGACAGTTGTATGGCTTGAACACCAGGGGTGAGGGGGGCAGTTCATCTTTTTGTAACAGACCTTGAAAAATTTGAGATGGGTTTCCTGCACTGCGTTTGTCTGTTTATTATAGAATACCAAGTGCTGTACAACTTTTAAGGAGGAATTAATTTAGTATTCTATTTCTGAATGTTGTGCCTTTTGTTTTATGCTAGATTACGGTCTGGTGACAACACCACAGCTACATTACCTGGTCTGCTGTCAAAACACCCAAGAGCAGTATGGGAAAGCAACGCTGGAGGGTTATTATGAAAAACTGTCCAAAGCTTTTACAGAACTGATAAAACAGGTGAATATGGGGCACTGTATGAGTATCTTTTGATTGTTAGCCTGTTTGGGTCTGAAGTTTCAAATTCAGCATGCCTCTAGGTGTGGTTTCACTAGGGTATGAGTTCACTTTGCCTCTTCTTCCCTTGTGCTAAGTCTCCCAGCTCTGGAGAGAGTCAGAGGCACCTGAAGATTGACTGTGCCAATGGAATAGGAGCCCTGAAACTATCAGAAATGGAGCCCTACTTTCCAAAGGAGGTGCTAATTCACCTGTATAATGATGGAACCAAGGAGAAACTTAATCACTTATGTGGTGCAGATTTCGTAAAAGTTCACCAGAAACCACCTAGAGGTACGCAGTCAGTAATTTTATATCCTTTTGCTTCCTCTCCTGATCTGAAAGTGCAGGGTCTAGCAATGGCGTGTCCATCTTGGGATAAGCTGAGCTCCCATGTTTCCTACGAAGCAACTGCATGAATGGTTCTGCTTGCACGATGGAAAGAGAGAATCCTATGGCTGGTTTTGGCACAACCCTAGTTTATGTTGGTCTGAATTGTTTGGAGGAATACAGAATGTCTCTGGCTGGCTGAAATATGTTTGACGATCTGGTCTGAATGTTAAGCTGGTGGAGTCCAAAGATCAGTCAGGACTGGCTTACTTTTATTTACTTTACTTCCGTTTGTGTTATCAAGAAACATTTACATTGTGGGCTGGGCACTTTTCCAGGTTCCTGAGGAAGAGCTGGGATAATTAACAGCTTGGTGCCAACAGACTGATTGATTGACATAAACCAGAGAGGAAATTATTTGGTCCAATTTCCTGCAAAGTGCATGAAAGAAAATCCCTGAACTGAGGGAGCAGGCTATTTTGGATATTAGATTATTTAAGGCTAAACTGGACTCTCCGTTCAACAACTGCACCCTCATTGCAACTGCTAGCCAAATGCAAACACCGAGGTACGGTGTCATTTCCCCCTTGCCACGCTGCTTCTGTGCTGGAGAAATGTAGAAAGGGGAGCAGCACAGCGGATCATGGCTTTAACTGGGACTGAGGGGAGACACCTTCATCGTTTCCACGGAGGGGTGTGCTCTGAAAAGAAAATGTGGTTTCATAATCAGTTGTTGAAATGAATGATCCAATTTCTCTGAAGTGCTAGGCAGCAACAGCTTCCTGTTTGTAAGTCATAAGGAGTCTCAACCTGTTAAATGTCGCAGTTGCCGTTACCTTGTGCTTTAGCTTGGCAGTGGGACGTATTGTGTGTATTGCTGTAGGCATGCAGGAGAAGAAACAGGCAAGTTTTGGGCTATAGTTTCCTGTGCTCTGAAGGACAAGTTGTCAGCAATGTGAGCCAGTTTTCCTGTCTGCTTTTGTATTAAAACATGTTTTTCCAAGAAGAGGTTACAGAATGCAGCTGTCCTTTGGAGATCCCTGCTGAGTTCCTGATGGACTTTGAAATCAGCCTAGGGAATGGCCAGCTGCACGTTTTCTGAGAAATGAGCTCTGAGATTAATGTGAGCAAGGATCTTGGCCAGCATCTTAGAGAAAAGCAAGATGTAGAATCATAGAATAGTTTGGGTTGGAAGGGACCTTTAAAGGTCATCTAGTCCAACCCTCCTTCAATGAGCAGGGACATCTTCAACTAGATCAGGTTGCTCAGAGCCTCGTTCAGCCTGACCTTAAGTGTTTCCAGGGATGGGACACCTACCACCTCTCTGGGCAACCTGTTCCAGAGTTTCACCACCCTCATTGTAAAGAATTTCTTCCTCATATCTAGTCTGAATCTGCCATCTTTTAGTTTAAAACCATTACCCCTTGTCCTGTCACACCAGGCCCTACTAAAACAATTGTCCCCATCTTTCTTATAAGCCCCCTTTAAGTACTGAAAGGCCGCAGTAAGGTCTCCCTGGAACCTTCTCTTCTCCAGGCTGAACAACCCTGACTCTCTCAGCCTGTCCTCACAGGAGAGGTGCTCCAGCCCTCGCATCATTTTAGTAGCCCTCCTCTGGACCTGCTCCAACAGTTCCATGTCCTTCTTGTGCTGAGGGCTCCAGAGCTGGACGCAGTGCTCCAGATGAGGTCTCACCAGAGCATAGTAGAGGGGCAGAATCCCCTCCCTCGACCTGCTGGCCACGCTTCTCTTGATGCAGCCCAGGGTGTAGGGTTGGCCTTCTGGGCTGCCAGCGCACATTGCTGGCTTGCACTTGGCCTTATTGAACCTCATGAGGTTCACCTCTCCAGCCTGTCCAGGTCTCTCTGGATGACGTCCCGTCCTTCTGGCCTATCAACTGCACCACTCAGCTTGGTGTCATCCGCAAACTTGCGGAGGGTACACTCAGTCCCACTGTCTGTGTCATTGTTGAAGATATTAAACAGTACTGGTCCCAGTACAGACCCCTCAGGAATACCATCTGTCACTGATCTCCAGCTTGACATTTAGCCATTGACCACTACCCTCTGGATGTGACCATCCAACAAATTCCTCATCCACCAAAGAGTCCACCCATCACATCCATATCTCTCCAATTTAGAGAGAAGGATCTTGTGGGGGACCCTGTCAAAGGCCTTACAGCAGTCCGGACAGATGACATGTGTAGCTCTTCCCTTGTCCACTGATGCAGTCGCTCCATCATAGAAGGCCACTGGGTTGGACAGGCAGGACTTGCCATTGGTGACGCCATGCTGGCTGTCTTGAATCACCTTCCTGTCTTCCATGTGCCTTAGCATAGCTTCTAGGAGGATCTCTTCCATGATCTTCCCAGGCACAGGGGTGAGACACTTTAATGTGCCTTAATAAAAGTGCAGTCCGTTCCCACGTGGCATTGCTGTGTCAGGTGGTGACTGCTTCCTAGCTGTTTCTCTATTAAGACGGGCAAGTTTTTGAGGCAGGTACTCCTTATGCATTATATACATTGTTGTACACATTGAATATCAAGCAAACTAAAAGCAAGGTATTTTACAGCTGGCAGATCCGCTTGTGTAGTTTTTGTACAGCTCTGAGAAATCTTGCTGATGGTTGCTTTGGAGTGGGGTTGTTTTTTCAGTGGTGGGATTTACGTGCCATCTCCTGATGTAACTGCACTTCAGGGATGGCTTCGCCGGCATGGGGGTGCATGCTTGTCTTGCATTAGGAGAGTGGGTGTCTCCTGTGTGAGAGGAAGCAAAGGGGAGGGGCAGGTCTGTCAAGTGGGAATAGAATAAAATTTAACAGGCCTGAAATATTTCCTGAAGAACAGCATTTTGGATGCAAGGGAAAAATAGTGAATTCCCATGCTGGCTCACCCTGCCACGCAGCGGGGGAAAGGGATTCGCCTCGGTCTGCGGGCGCTATGTGCGACTCGGTACGCTCTGTGGTGACTGACTGGGTCAGAAGCGGGTGGGTGTTCTGCTGCTGCAAGGTTTTTGTCCTTGTGCCATAACTGACCTTCAGTGCCTATTTCCAAAATTTAGAGAAGTGACTGCACACAGTAGTTCTGGAACTGATTTTCATACATATCTGGGGGGAAGGTGTAGCATCAGAAATGTGTAGAAAACCTGCATTTTTTTTTATATTAGTTTTTATATTTTTTGATCCGAACATGCACTTGTTCAGTTGCCATTCAATACAGCTTCCCTGTTCCAAGTCTCCTGGTAAGAGCAACGTCTGTTTCAGAGCATTGGTTTTGTGTGCGTCTGCACAGAGCTAATTTCTGCACGAGATCCACACTGGGATTAGTTTAAACTTTTTGTATCTTTTTCCCCCTCTAACTTGCATTTTGTAACTTTGTGTGCACTAGGGCTAGACATGAAGCCCAATGAGAGATGCTGCTCATTTGATGGCGATGCAGATAGAATTGTTTATTACTATAAGGATGCAACTGGCCATTTTCACCTAATCGATGGAGATAAAATAGCAACTTTAATTAGTATCTTCCTTAAAGAACTTCTTGCCAAGGTAACTTTAACAGATGAAATGAATGCTGACACTTTAATTTGCAAAGTGTAAAATATTCTGAAGAACTTGTGTTAGTTTGTACGTACGTGGTCTCCCTACATCTACCTAAAATGAACCCAGCTTAAAAAGAGATCAGTTCTGTACCTCATTGGTATGGCCAATGTGTTATTTTTACAAGGGTGTGACTTCCAGACTCCAAATAAATATCTGAGCACTGATATTTTAACCTGGAACCTTTTGTTAGTGGGAGGGAACTTTTCCAGTTTCAGTGTACAAAGTGTTGATATTCCATTCTCTTTGTTTCGGTGTCTTTCATTAATTTTTCATTAATTAATTTTTCATTAATTTTTCATTAATTTTGGGTTCAGTCCTTCCCTCAGCATTTCTCTGAAGCTTTATGAAGGTTGGTCCATTCCATTTGCATTAGAACTTGGTTGTGGCAGCCAAGGGGTTTGTAAGTCATCGTTCCAAAACCACATAGTATCCTCTCCCTACAGAGGGAGGAAAAGCTTTTCTTTTTCAGAAGTCCTCTTAGATGTGGTATCTGTGATACTAAGCCTAGATGAATTATCCTGGTTTTTCTTAGAGACCACCTCATTTCTTACACTGTGGCAGAGATGCTGGCCAGTGAGGAGAACTTGTGCTTGCCTTTGCTTGCTTTGCACTGGAAGCTTTGACTTAACTGCTTGTGTATATGGCCTGATGTAAGGCCACATGTCTGGCTAGTGCACTGAGCTTGCTGAATCTGAAAAAAGGGGTTTGGAAAGCCTCCGCAGGAGACTGAATGGAGAGCTGCTTTGAGCCAGCCACAGAAACTGTGGTATAGAAAGGCTTGAACAGAATTTGCATTGTCTTACAAGTTCTCTGTGAGCTGGTTCTTTCATCTGATGCCCAGGAGTTTTAAGTGTCTGTAGGAGAACGCATGTTTAATAATTCTGATTATCCTTTCATTTATCTTACTCCTCTGGCTATGTGCCTGTCGGACAGTAAAGCACTTTGCTTCTTGGATTGCTCAGGTGGGACAGACGTTAAAGATGGCAGTGGTACAAACAGCGTATGCCAACGGGAGTTCAACACGCTACCTTGAGGAAACACTGAAGGTATTCTCCTTTTTCTTTTTTCCTGGTAGTTTTCTGTACATGTTGTTTACTGCAAATCTGTTTGCTTCTAAAGTAAATGTTACTGTAATATGATTGCTAGGAAAACTTAAACTAGGCTAAAAATAAATGACTCTCTCAAACCTGCAGTAGCCACTGAATTCTTGGTGGTAAAGGAGCTGCAAGAGAGCAAAGCTGAAAAAGTTCTAGTCAGCTTTGACTAGTTAAAAAAAAAAAAGTTTGGCAAAAGTTAAACAAAATCCTTTGTTACTTTTGGAACAAGTTGAGGAATTTATGGCTTTGCAACCAAGTGAGTCAGTAAAAGCTCCTTGATATTTTGACACTGGTTGTTTCATTTTCTGTAACAGGCTAAATTCTGTTTGCTATGGAAGTGGGGCTTATGATTGGTTGGCAAAAAATTGAGCTAAGGTATTATTTCAGTTTGTATAGAAGTACGGTATGTTCCCTGAAACCATAAAATGGATTGGGGTTTTGTTGCAGTGGTGTTTGGGTTTGGTTTTTTTTTTGGGGTGGGGGGTGGTGGTGGGTTGTTGGTGGGTTTTTTTTTGGTTTTTTCTTTAATGAACCTTTCTTTCTACTTGGAGAAAGGAAATCTTCCTTTTAATCATCAGGCCTGCAGAAATAGTGGGTAAGTTTAGCTCTGGGGAGTCAGTAGCTGTGAAGCACAGGCCAGTTTGTAACAGTCTACCCAGGCTGGTGCTCAGTTCCTGGCACTTCACCTGCTGTTCCCAGCTATGGAAGAGCATCTCTAACCCGGTTTGTATTCTCTGCGTATCTTGGGCTGCAGGTTCCTGTGCACTGTGTCAAAACGGGAGTGAAACACTTGCATCACAAGGCCCAGGAGTTTGATGTTGGTGTTTATTTTGAGGCAAATGGACACGGCACAGTAAGTATGAGCATGTAATGCATAAGATCAGCTGACATGTACAAAATTTTAGGTAAATTAGCTGGAGAAGGAGGTCTTTTCACTCTCTGCTTACATTTATAAACAAGGTTTTTCTCTCCTTGTTTCCCCCTTCCGTTTCATTGCCACCAACTCTCCTGTGTTTTATGTGGGAATGGGAATTCATGGTAGCAAACGTTAAGGATGGTTATTGGGTTCAAAGGGTAAGACTTTTTTGTCATCGCTGCACATATCCTAGTTTGTGACGTGGGCTGATCTTGACAAGCTCTCCTCTTTTTATTCTAGGTATTATTTAGTAAAGCTGCTGAAGCTAAAATAAGACAACTGGCAAAAGAGGAGAAAGATGATGAAAAAAGAAAAGCAGCAAAGGTGCTTGAAAACATGATTGACGTGATTAATCAGGTAAAAACTGAGATAAATGTTGGTAGTCACAGGGCTAAGCCTGTTGGTGCGTACCTGTCAGGCGACTGCCAGGGACTGCTGGAGCAGGAACTGGGGTGCCATGATAGAAGGGGCCAAGAAGAAAAGGGCAGGAACAGTCGTCTTTAGAAAGATGGGGGATTTTCTCAGGAGTGGGTGCAGAATGCTTTTATCTTGCGCAGTCTTATGGCTTCAGGACCAAATGAGGGAATGGGATGGCATGGGAACCTAGCGACAGGAGGTGACTTACTTATTCGTGATTCAACAGCAAGTTCCTCTTGCAGCTGGTGTTTTTCACTGACCTGTATGGTAGGGGAGGGTGGGGGTGTTCCAGTGCCCGTGTCCACAGAGCCCTGGGACTCCCTGTTGCTCATCCAGGGTAGAGCCAAACCCTACTCCATTTCTTCACTGTTGACTTCTCTGGTATTTCTCCCCCTCCCCTCCCCTGTTAACAGACGATTGGTGACGCTGTCTCAGACATGTTGGTTATTGAAGCAATCCTGGCTCTGAAAGGGCTGACTGTGCAACAGTGGGACGCCATCTATGCTGACCTCCCCAGTCGGCTGCTCAAGGTTCAGGTGAGTTACGGGCCACCCTGCCTCAGGTTATGGCAGCCTCTTGGGGCCCTGCTGCGAGCAGCTCTTGCCTACGTGTATTTAGGTAAGCTTTATTTTGAAGCTGAAACAGCCCACTGAAGGGCAAAGTAGGCCAAACAAGCTATGAAAACAACCCAGAGGAGGGACCAGAATTTCACTTGGACTAACACAGAAATGTGACTTATACACATGATGAAAAACTTGCCAACTCTGTTAAGTGGAAAAACCTGACCCAAACTGATCAAATTTTAACTTGGAAATTCTTTTTTGACTTGGAAATTCTTTAACTTTCAAATTAGAAAAATACTGGATTTTTCTTGCTGCGCCACATTGTGTAACTCGACTAGCCAATATTCAAAGAGCTGGAGCAAGACCAGGCTCCCACATGGTAGTGTTCTGTCAGACACAGTAAGGGAGCTCTGGGCTCTAAATGAGCCAGAGGAGTGAGTTTGAGCTTTCTTATCAGCTTCAGTTCAGAGGCTGAGGCTGACCAAGGAGGCCAGAACTGACCCTTTTGCCAAACCAAGCAGCTGAGTCCTGTCGAGGCATGGTTAACCCATGCTGAGCAGGGATCCCAGGGATCCCAGTGCCTTCGAGGTAAGCAGAGAACTCCCAAACAGAGCTCTTCTTCAGGCAGCGCCTGAAGTTCTGTCTTACCCGTGACCTTTTTAATTGTGCTGTCATCTTACAGCTCCAGCACGCAAATAAATTCCGTTTCTGATGCTGCAGGTTGCAGACAGGCGAGTTATTGACACAGCAGATGCAGAAAGGCGCGCAGTTACACCGCCAGGACTACAAGAGAGAATTGATGTGCTCGTGAAGAAGTACAACTTGTCACGAGCGTTTGTCCGTCCATCAGGAACAGAAGATGTAGTCAGAATATACGCTGAAGCAGACACGCAGGTCAGAGCTTAAACAACTTGTATGTAAGGTGGATTTGTTTCTGTTAAATGATCTTCTGCTGAGCACTGGGTGAGGGGAGAAGCATGCTTACATACTGGTCATTTAATCACACTTTATAGGTGCTAAACTTTAGTGACAAAACCTTAGCACAAAAAGTCTCTTTGGATTTTATTTATGAAAGCGATGTTTAATGTTCTCAGTGTTTATCTTTAAAAGTCTGATGCTTATAAAGGCAGATTTGACACTAGATACTTTTGAAAAGAAAAATCAGCCTTCTGAGAACTCAGGGGTAAGAAGAAAGTTCCCAAAGCAGCCAGTTAACAGCATGATTTCATAAGCGGCAAGGTAGAAAAAAAAAAGTAAACTGTGGCTGCTGTTAAGAATTAGTTCACATGTGAACTTAAAGTTGACAGCAGAAGCAGTGGCCCTGCTCTTCCCCCTTCACATGCTCCTGCCCACTGCTCCCTGCCAGCGTGACCACAGTGGCAGAAGATACCGCAGAGCAGTAGGAAGGCAGCATTTGCAGGAAAGCGCCTTACTCGCACTTAATTGCTCTGACCTTCTCATGCCGACACCAACGTAACTAACTTTTAAAACATTCCACAGGAGAACGCGGATGCCCTCGCCCATGAAGTAAGCCTGGCTGTTTACCACCTCGCCCGTGGGAAGGGAGCGCCACCCCAGCCTCTATAACGAAGGGTGCGACTGCAGTTAAAGCTCATAACGTGACTTTTTTAACATTACTTTCTTAACTACTTGCTAGTGTGGGCATACCCTTCCACTTATTCTTTACCTCTGATAGCAACTTACCTCTTGATGAGACACTCTTGCTGCTGAATGTTTTCCCCAGCCCTCAAGTCCATCTGACATCTGAGGCTGCAGTGACTTAGCCGTGACTCACTTCGTGCCAGCCAGGGGCCCAGTCCTGCCCCAAGGGAATGCTGCCCCCCACCCAGCTTGCATCGTGGGTTACGGGCAGAGTCTCAAGATTCCGTTCACCTCAGTTCAAGGGAGAAGTGAGATAATGGAAAAAAAGCATTTACAAATAATAACATTATTGCAATATCATCTTCATTAGATACTTTTATGAAATTAAAGTGTTGCTTAGAAAGCAAAAGTGATTATAAATAGTATTACTGCAAATTAAGAGGGAAGGGACAGAGACAAGTTTGTCTTCTATAGCCCTTACTGCTCCCCGGCAGCATAAAGGGGCCGGGCTGAGGGGATGTAATGTTTTAAATACACAAATATCCTCATCCCCGTAGTTCAGTTCAGGGTACCTCCCTCTGTTCTTTGTCATCCTCTGCCAACTCCTGGCATGATGGCGCTTTCCAGATCACTAAATAAGCACAAGTTCCAAGGGATCAAAAAAACCCCACAAACAAACAAAAAAAAAATAAAGTGGAAACAAATTGAAAAAATGTGGCACTTTGTATTTTTTTAGTTTTTTTTTTTTTTTTAAAGACAGAACTCAAGACAACAAAACATGTACTGTAATAGTAGGCACCATAATCAATATGAGCCACCAATATTTAAACTTGATTCAGGCCACATCCAGAACTTTTCTCTTATTTACAAATATTTAACTTAAATACAACATTTAAGTATTTCATTACATACAAAGTAAGAAAAGAATACTATACAGCATTTCATTGGAATACATTACATATAAGCTGAACAGTACCAGTTTGGTTCATGTTTTTATGACACCTTCAAGAAAATCCTTCTCAACCATTTCTTCTATCTTTTGTCTTGCTTTGCTGGAGAAGGTCTTTAGGTTCTCCAGTTTTATGTCCTTACTGGGAAAACAGTTGGGGTAAAGGACAGGGCTCCCTGAGTGTCCCACACATCTGCTCGTGACCTTGCTGTTGAAGACTTGGCTGAGTACATTGAAGAAAGGCAAAAGCTGCTCGATGCTGCGCACGGTGTAGATGGTTAAAAGCAAGTGACCTGGTTCCCAGCTTAGTGTTTTCCCTGAGCTGTCCTCCTCCGGGTTTTTCTGTAAAAAAAGAGGAAATAATACAGGACAAAACGGAAAAAGCACAGGTGAAAATAAAAGACCAATGCCCAACAAAGTATTTCTCCATGTTCCAAACCCATCTATCCTATTGCCGGAATACCCCTGTGCTAGAGCGCAGCTTTCGAAGCAGATCTCCTGCTCCTCCCTCGCCACGCGTGGCAGCAGCGGTGCCTGAGAGCACAGTGACAAAGCTGCGGTGGGCGTTCGAGTCCCACCCCGCCTCAGCCCAGGGCTGCCCCCGGCCCCCACCGTGCTGCCCTGCAGAGCCGCTCCCGGAGCTGCATCCCCTGGCCAACGCACACAGCCCAAGCCGGGGACACCCAAGCAGGACAGGTCTCCGAGAGCACTTGCGCTTCACCCTACCGCCAGCATTAGTGACAATAAACCCCAGAGGAAGTTATAATAAAAACAGAACATCTTCACTTTGAAGCTAGAGTTCAGAGTTTTCAGAAAGAGCAAAAGCAGTTTTTAAAAGAAAAAAAAAAAAGCAAAAGCTGGTTTTAGGATCAGAAATAACACATATGGAGGCTCTGAACAAAGACTTGAAGTTGTCCTCAAAGGAATATGGTTCAGTTACTCCACGTGTCCTCAGAAGACCTCACTTAAGCATCCTCCAAAGGGAGAGAATGTCAGCAACCTCAGCAGCGAAGGCAGCAGTCACCCACCGGAGGCTCACAGGCAGTGCCAGCGCACTGCTGTAACTCCCTGTAGGGTTGCCTTGAGTACCTCCATCCTAAAATACCTGAGCACCAGCATCCAGCTGCTCATACGGCACTCCTCACTCGTTTCCTTTTTCCCTTCAAGCCCAAAACCATTCATCTCTAGAGAGTAAGGCACTATCACCACTAGGAATGCCTCGTTTCTCTCAATGCTGGAGAGAAAACCAGCGCGGGAGAGCTGCTGTCTGGAAGCAGAGTTCCAGCAATGCTGGGGTTTATTCTGCGAGGAAGGAGAAAAGCAGCACAAAGGCCACATCCAGGAGAGCCGCCTCCCGATCCGCCTCTGCCCAGGCCGAGCAGCTCCCGCAGAGCACGCTTCGCAACCGCGGGAGAAGGAAGGGGAAAGAACAGCAGTGGGCGCAGAGCGCGAGGTAAGGATTACTGACTGCATGGCCTTCGAGTAGACAGATTTTCTTCAAGAGATGATACTTTAGTAAATACAGTTTTTTTCCCCCTAAACGATGCAATTCCAGAGCCTACATGACGCTCGTTTCACAAGAAAAAATTCAGTTAAGAGTAAATATGAACACACTTCGTATTTTAATCTGGTGGTTTGTCTCCCTGTCACAGGAGATTACTGTTCTACAAGTCTCAAGAAAAGAGTGGCTCATAATGAACTAGAACGAAGGGAAGAGTGCACTCCAACGCCAAAACAGTTGTCGATGCCTCCCACTTCCAATGAAGCCACCAGTTTTTAAAGTTTCTCCTTTAAAAACTCCACACTGCGTTCACAGAAGAGAGGCTTTTCAGTGCTGGTTCTCTGCCGCGCCTAGCGTTAGCCCGGCAGTGAGCATGGGCTACGCCGGCACGCTGCGAGCGCCAGTGTTACCCAACAGCCAAGCAAATGGGGGGCACGTGCAAATCCTAATTCTCCCTCTGAGCAATGAAATACAATCCGTCCAAGCCATTTCCTCACGGCAGCATCTGCTAAGCAAACACCACTAATTCCTCAGGTACTTAAAACAACAGTTAATTTGACAGAGACTGATCAGGGATTGCATGTTTCACCCTTGCCCTTTGGCAAAAAATATTGTATTATTTAATTTTATAATTATTTGCAATCATAATTCTTAGAACTAAGATTAACCTTTTGTAACCTATTTCATGTAAGAAACCAACTTAAAAACAAATTTTTAAGTTACCTATAAAAATAAGGGCCTCATTGTTATTTCACTTCAAAACCCACTCAACTTTGTCCTCTAACAAGACTGATCTCCCCCAGGTCTCACTGGAAGCTAAACACTGCCCAGGGCCCTGAGGTGATGGTGTTATTATGGCGAGCTTGTTTCACAACTCAAGCATCACAGGCCACCCTCACCTGATGCTTGGCCATCTCCATTCCCTCCACAACCACCGTCTTAAAGTCCTCCTGTTTGTCCTGTGGAAGGAAAGAGGAGAACTTTCAGACTGCATTTCATATATCAAAATAATACTTTGCCGTGAAGGCCGTGCAGTTGCTTGGTCAGGTGCTGTGCTTCAGCTAGAAAAATCACCCGCCCCAAAGAGGCCACGGGCCAGAAAGAGCAGACTCTGGGGCTCGTGTGGCCAAAGCACCGTTGGACAATAACAGCACTGCCGCTTTGTTCTTCTCTTTATTGCCAGTAGCGCCAAAGGAGGTTTTTAAGCACGTTTCCTTCAGACAACAGAGCCTGAGCAACACCACACTACACGAATCTGAGCTTTAGTCAGAGTGCCCTGGAGGAAAATTAAGATCCACTGGAACATTTTACTCAGATACAGTTATTTTCTAAGAAAAAACGACAGCTATATGCAACAGTATTCTCCTCTGCACAAGGAAGAAATGGCCTGGAAGTCAGTATTCATTACCTCTCGTTTATCTCATCCTCATACCCCTATAGCTATGGTTCACTGCGTGCAGCTGCTGCCGTGACTAAGGGGTTCCAGAAATCCCAGCGAGTTTTCTATGTTCTTGAAGCGTACTATGGAAGTCCTGACTTCAGGCATCTATCTCAACATACAGTACTTACCAGAACGCACATTCTATGTGTCATATGTAATTTATAATTCATACAAAGAGCTTATTTAGAGCGCGACAGCTTTCTAACAGGTACAGCATGCTATGCTGAACACCAGGGTTAGGGGTTACGCTTGAGCAGCAGTCACTTAAACCTGATTATTCCTTTATACATGTGAGAAGTTTAGTCTCATCTTTGGGGTTCAAAAACAGTAAAATGAAGAACGCAGATGTGCTTCAGATACTTGTTTTATCCCCTACAGTTGTGAGTCTTGCTTGAATAGTTCAGATCTGCCCACAACTAAGTTACCCCTAAATTTTATGTAGCCACTCGTATGGCAGCAGTAGTTTCTTTACTCAGTGAAAACATCCATTAGAGGTTGTAAATGCAGTAGCTACAGCAAGCTGCCAGTCTTACAGCCCTGACAATGCCATCTATTTGGAGGGAAAGCTTGGAAGTTTCATTCTTGGCTTTCTCCCATATGGCTTTGAGCTTTCTCGCCGTTCCCCTGGCCCACCCAGCAACCTTTCCCAGCGAAGCGCCTGCCCGGGGAAACGCCATCCCCACAGTGGGAGCGGCAAAGCATCTGGCAGCAGTTTTCTTTGCGGCAGCAGAAGAGAACTCCCTGGGACAGGGCTTGGCCAGCTTCCATCAGCTACATTAGTGGAACACGCCTCCACCCCACCCAAACGAGGGTTTTAATATACCTCATGCACCAGCATAATGACAACCCTAATTCTGCTCCCACTCTACAAACCGTGCAGCCAAGAGTTCCCCAGAACTTGTTTTTACTGCTTTCTGCCTTCTTCCACTCTTCCTAACTGCTTCGGGGAAGAAACCCAGCCCTCCATGGCTCTGCACAGTCTCAAAACTCTTGGTTCTGTCATTTTTAGGAATGCAACAGTTTTCTAAATATTTAAATGTGATTATTATTACCAAAAATGCTCTTCTGCTTCAAAAGGTAGTTAGTTATACTAGTATCTACATACATGACTATCTGAAAGTGATTTTATGTTAAAATATATTAGACATTGAAAACCACATTTTACTTTTTACTCAAATAAAACAAATAATACTTTTAATTGGAAACTCCAAAGTCACTGACCATAGGGGTTTTTTGACCACAGCAGGTTTGGGGGGGTTTCTTGTTGTTTGATTGGTTGGGATTTTTGTTTGTTTGTTTGTTTTGTTTTTTTCCTGTTTTATAAACCTACGTGTGGGTTTTGCCTGATGCTTACTTGAGACTACTCCAGCGGGAATCTCCCACACCAGATAAACTCCTTCCCATTCTTCATTATTTAAAAAAATGGCCAAAATGAAACAGTGCTGTAAGTTACTGTGCATGAAAGTTTTCAATGAAAAGTAAAACTGGGAGAAAGCAACATACCTTTGCTTTTTTTCGCAGCAGTTTTGCAAGACGCACCACATACGGTTTGAATTCCCTCTGATGCGTACCCTGTCTTCGTACTTCCAAGCCCGAATCATCTGATGCTTCTGGAATAAAAGCCCAACGATACCTGTCACGAGATAACACAAGCAGACATTATCCTTATGGAACATGCAGACTTTTCTGCTAGGTCTAAAAATATGAGTGGATGAGACAATCTAGTTAAAGTATCAAAGAAAGAGGGGGCTAAAAAAAGAAACAAAACCAATCCACACGAAACCTATCAGTCTTCGACAAGAAAGAATAGGAAAGGCACGTTCTGAAAAGCAGGAAGTACCATGGCCGAGAATGTAGCGTTGTCTTTTTCCTTTAGAGCTTCTTAAAGTATTTAAGGATGCCAAGAGCAAGATAAGGCAGAGAAGCTAAAAACAGTATTCACATCTTCACTGAGTGCAACAGAACTGAAAGCAATTCTGAATTACAGAATATGTAAGTTACTTAAAACATTTTGCTCCACATTTGCAATGCTTACTGTATCACACAAAATGTTCCAAATATACCATGTCGATAACAGAAATTAATTTATTTTACCAATGAGACCAAGTGGACCACATCCCTGCCTTGCTGCACTGCAAGGACTTGCTACTTGCATTATAAATTATAAAGGAAATCAAAGTTTTTGTCCTTAAAACTTCAATCCAAGCCTCCAGGAGAATGCCATAAAAGCCAGTGTGATTCAGCGGGACTACTGGCCTTCCAGAAGTGCACAGTAATGACCTAAATAAAACCAGGTTGGCTAATAATGGGAATTAGGACAGCTTGGAGCGCTGAATAAGAATTATGAGCCAAATCCCCAGAAAAATCACAGAATCCCAGAATGGCAGGGGTTGGAAGGGACCTCCGGAGATCATCCAGTCCAACCCCCCTGCTAAAGCAGGTTCACCTAGAGCAGGTTGCACAGGACATCGTCCAGGCAGGCTTTGAATATCTCCAAAGAAATAAAACAAATGAAGGAACCTTCAAGATTAGTTTTAAGTTTAGAAATACTACAGGGCACGAACTGACACAGTGTGTGCAAGCCCTTCCACCCTCTAGCCCACACAAGCGTCTTTTAAATAACCAGATAATTAGAAGTGACCAAATGTCTACAGAGCTGTGCCAGGGCAGCAGCTCTCGCACGGTCACCATGGTGCAGCGTAAAGGAAGAGATGAGACATTTTTTTGTCCTTGGTGGCCTATCATTTCTAGGGCCTTCAGCAAATGCCAGTTGCTTTGCATTCATTTTTTTTCCAACAGAAAAGGACTGCAGAAGCCCTGAGGAAGCAGTTTGCACACACAAGCACTAGTGACCAAGAAAAACCTCTGGGGTCCCCTTCACAAGCAGGTTTGTTGCAGCATCTTCCAGACAGATCACGCAGGAGTAATTTAAGGGAGTCACGCTGAGATGACATACAGTCGTCTGATCTCATGCATTAGTCACCGAGATGCGTGGGTGTATTTTGAGTTCTTAGACATTACTGCAACTAAATACTTTAAAAATAAAATACTTGAATAAATCACTGTTACTGACTAGCTCACAATTGTGGAGAATCTCTTGCCAGCTTGAACGTATTTGGCGTGTAGTATTGTTTGCCACTCTGACACTGGGAGGGAATAAACTGTGGGCTTCCCTGGGTGAAGGCCAAAAAAAGGAAAGGAAATAGGAAAACAAAGATTTTTTTTTTTTATTTTTTTTTTTTTTTATACACAAAAATTGTAGCAAGAGGCATGGACAAACATCCAAAAACTTAAATGACAGTGTCCTCTACTCACATCTGAAACTGAGGCAGATTTTCAGAAGGCAAAGCTAGGGCCAAGTCCAGAAATTTGCAAGCGGACAAGTACAGGTTCAACCATCTCTGGCTATTGTAGGACGTGGAGAAACCATTGCCGCCTGTGTACGTTGTCTCCAGACCAGCAACAGATGGGCCAGAAGTTCTAAAATAAATTGTAGCAGGCAGGTGAGTCGTAACAGCCTTCTGCCACCATGGGAACATCATCTTTCTTACTTGCTCTTACAAATGTACAACTATTTACCAACTTAATCCTGAATCCATACATCAAATTAGAACATTGCAAGTCTGTCCTATGGGTGGAGTTCTGTATGTTTTTATATATAGATATAAAAGATAACGTTAATATATAATAAATATGTTATGCTGTATCTCATTCCCATCAGACATCCAAATTAAAAGAAACTTTAAAATTGCCAGTCATGTCAATATTACTTTATTTTAGAGGAAAATTCTTCAAAAGAATGAAGAGAATCTAGAAAAAAGGTGAAGAACAAGACTC